TGGCTTTTCAGGGTGTTAAATATCCTCCTACGAAGTCTGAAGCCACCACTGATCTGTTATTCTGCCAAAAGACACATACATTTGGTTGATGCTCACAGCTTTCTTTTTCCTTGTGCCAGATGGGAATAAACCTCTTCCTTATAGGAAGACAGACCTCCTTTGTAGGCAAGCATCCAGTCCCTGCCTTGTTATTGGGTGAATAGAGGATTATATCCACCTTTCCACATTTCCCATTTTGAAAATCGATTATCTTGTTTGGTGTATTAGCTATTTTTGCACTGCTGGGACAAAATATCAGACACCCACAACTTAAAGGAGGACAGATTTATTTTGGCTCACACTTTTCAGAGGATTCAGCCTACGGTTGGCTGGCTCAGAGGCAGAAATAGAAAGGTGGAAGGGGCTGGGCATGGTGGCACACACCTGTAATCCCAGCACTCAGGAGGATAAGGCAGGAGGATCGCTGTGAGTTCGAGACCAGCCTGGGCTACATAGTGAGTTCCAGGTCAGTCTCAACTACATAGTGACACCCTGTCTCAAAAAAACCAAAAAGAACAAACAAATGAAAGGCCGAAGGGCCTGGCAGAGGAAATTTGCTTAACTAATGGCAGTCACAAGCAGAGATGCAAGGGAGGAGCCCAGACAAGAACACGTTTTTCAGCCGCACCCCACAACCTACCCCTTCTTACCAGGCCCCACCTCTCAAACACATTTTAGATCTAAACCATAGCTTTTGGCAGAAATTGAGTTATCAAAGTACAGGTAGCTAAAGGGACTGTTGGATCTGTGAGACTTTTGCCTATATGAAAAAACAAAACGATTTTAAAAGGGGAAATCATCCAGTTTGGGATTAGGCTTGAACCCTCTTCTTTTACATCCTACTTAACCCAGATTTCCAAACATCAGTTGAGATCCAGAAAACTGAGCTTGGCGTCATCCTAGTTATTCCAGGAATGTCTTGCTGTGCAGTCATTGGGTGACCGTATCCACTACCATGGGCCACTGTGAGCTGGGCCCAGTTAGTCTGATACCAATTCATGGAAAGCTCTCAGTTTATATTAACATGGTGATTACACATTTATAAACTGCAAAGAACTTGAAGCCTATTTTTGCCTAAATTTTCAATACCAATAATGGGCCACATACCTGCAGTAACACTGATGTTAAACTGATTCAGGGATCAGATAAAAGAAAAGGAGAGGAAAAGAGGGAGAAACATGATTCTCCAAACAAGAGAAACATGGATTTACTAGATAAATATATGAGAAAAGGGATTCATTAACTCCTACTGCCTTTTAAAATACCATTAAATACATGCTTTTTATTTGTTTGCTTGTTTGAGGCGGGGTCTCATAATGTAATCCAGGCTAGCCTTAAATGTGTGAACTTCCTGCTTCGGCCTCCCAAATGCTGGGATTACAGGTGTGTGACACCATGACCAACTAAATATGTGAGTTGCTTTCTAATTCAGTCCTCTGGCCGGGTCCTGGCAATCAGATCCAAAGTCTTCCACACAGTAGACCAGCTGTATGGCACTAAGGCTCCATCCCTTCTAATTCACTTTTGGGGGTGGGGCTAATACTCCTTATTAATTAAATGCTTACCTTTTCATTCTCAAAATATGCTGGGCAAGGATCATATGTGAATAGTCTTTGTACCCCCCCATGTACCTGACATGGTATCTTTCATAGGGTGGTCTTAGGTAGTAGTAGGTTTATTCATTTGAATCCAAGTTGAATTTGGGGGTCTCTCTCTCTCTCTCCTTTTATTGTATAAAGTAAATAGTGACAAACAATGTGATAGGAAAATATCTCTTCCATTTTCAGAAGTTGCTTTTGGAACATGCCTTCTGCAACTGTCATGTGGAGCCCAGGGTCATTTGGGGACAGGTCCCTGTAGCTGACCAAACAAAAGGCAATTTCAACTCAGTTGTTTGACCTTTGGCAGTATTCATTCTCCTAGTTTTCTTCATGTGGGCCACAGGAGTTGTGCAACTCTGAAGAGCTTGCCCTAAGTCTGCCTGCTGGGTGTGAGGAGTATGGGCGGGGGTGAAACCCAGGGCCTCCCACATGCCGGGCAAGGGCTCTGCACTGAGCTACATCCAAGTCCTCTTCATTTTAATTCTGAGACAGGGCCTCACTAAGTTGAATGGGCTGGCCTCAAACCTAAGATACCTCAGCTCCCAGTAGCGGGGATTGCTGGGTGTGCCACCGCCCAGCCAGGTCTGCCTTCTCGAAATGAAATGGTGGAGCAGTGACTTCTCAAAAGGTGTGGCTGCTTCTCTATGGGCTTTTAGGGAAATCTGTTTCTGAGAGTTCTGTGATTTCACTAGCAGAACTATATATAATTCAGGAAGATGAAGAGCCGCGTACCAAAGGACAACCTTGAGCAGTCCCCCTTTTCAAAGGGATCTTACATTTTCAATTTGTAGATAAACAATAACCATATCTGAATTGATTAACTGACTTGGGATGGAAATCTAGACTATGATCAGTGAAGAGAGTCAGGACTCAAAATGTTTTGCTATTTTATTCAAAATTCCCATGAGGAACTCTATAGCATCCCAACACACCTTTCCTAGGGATCTCCTCCACCTTCCCACTTCTGATGTCCTTATGTCCAAAAGTACACATACTTCCTGTGGCTTGACAAAAATGCATGCTAGCTTTTTTCAACTACATGCTTGCAGTGCATCTTGATGCACTCCTTGTACATAACACATCTTCATTCCATTTTCAGCCCCTTCTCCTCCCTCCATCTTTCATTCCCCTCTCATTTGAGAAAGATCTATCTCCTTACTTCCTATTTCTTTTATTTTTAAGAAGAACGGCCAATGGGGTCAGAAGAAATTCACAATAAAAGCTCAGATTTCCTTGTATCACTTATGACTGGTGAGTCTGCTTCTGTATGGTGATTGCTAATCAGCCTTATCCCAGACCGGGGCAAACATTTCAAAAAGAAAAAAAAAAAAAAAAAGGTTATGGACCTGTTAAAAAAGATCTACCTAGGTCTGCTTGCTCACTCTCATAGACCTCTTAGAAAATGACCATGTCCTAGGCATTGAGGTGCCCACCTGTAATCCCAGCACTTGGGAGGCTGACGCAGAAGGATCACCACAAGTTCGAGGCCAGCCTGGACTACATAGTGAGTTCAAGCCCAGCCTGAACTACACAGCAAGACCTTGTCTCAAAAACCTCAAAAATAGAACAAGAACAACAACAAAATCAGACAAACAAAGATGGCCATCTCAAATTCATGATGACTCAGAAACCAGAAAGCTTGAGAATGCCATAGTGAAATCAGGGTCCCTCTCCACGTGTGTGCACTACACACATAAATTTCTGAGTCTGTCAATTCACTTACTGGTTGAAGTGCTCCAGCTTATGGGTGTTGAGTGTTTTTGTTTTTGTTAATTGGGATTTTGTTGTTGTCGTTGTTGTTGTTGTTGTTGTTTGGTTGGTTTTTTTGGTGCTGAGGAAAGAACCCAAGGTCTCACACTATTCATTTTTATTTTGAGACAGGACTTGCTAAATTGTTAAGTTGCCCAGGTTGGCATGGAACTTATGATCCTCCTGCCTCAGCCTCCCAAGTAGCTAAGATTACAGGTGTGAGACACTGTGCTCAGCTCCATTTTGGTTTTTTTTTTTTCAATCCAGCCTTTGGGCAGGGAAACCACATACTGCCTGGACCAGTGATCATCTTTCCCTGACTTATCAAGGAGGGAAAGAACAGGAAAGTGGACTGCTGAGCATCCCCTGGAGAGAAGCTGATCACCTTCCTGTGGGAGGCAGGTGGAGCAAATTATAAGAATATAGATTTGAGGAGAATACAAAGGATTCACAGGAAAACCAGACCTGGCATCCAGCTCTAGGAAATGATGTTGACAGATAAGGAAAGTTTTCTCTCTGAGCTGCAAAGACATCTGGTCATCAGTTTAAAAAAGCACTCTCTTTAAGGAGTTTCCAGCTGGGTGTATGGTGTCTGCCTATAATCCCAGAACTCAGGAGGCTGAGGCAGGAGGATGGCAGTGAGTTCAAGGCCAGACTGAACTATATAGTGAGATCCTATCTCAAAAAATCAAAAAGCTTATTTTGGAAAAAAAACAAAGAATGTCTGGTGCAAGCCAGATGTGGTGGTGCATGCCTGCAATCCCAGCACTCAGGAGGCTGAGACGGGAGGATTGCTGTGAGTTCAAGACCAGCCTGGGCTACATAGTGAGTTCCAGGTCAGTCTCAACTACATAGTGAGACCCTGTCTCAAAAAAAACCAAAACAAAAAAAAGTCTGGTTCAGCTCAGAGATGTCTCACCTAGGGGGCGCTCTGGTATCTCACACTGGAAGCTCTTAGTGCCCACACCCGTGGTCCCTAGTGTCCCAGCCTGCCCATCACAAGACCATCATGTAGTGTCACCCAAAACAGTAGCTTTTCTTTCAACATTAGAAACCTAAATGCTGTTTTTAGTAAGTGCAGTTCTATCGGTTTACTCTTTTTCAAAGTTCATTTTCTACCTTTAAAAGCTCAACCTCCCTTATCCCACTTTCCCCCAAAAAGAGAAAGCCCAGGTACTCTGTGACAAACAGCAGGCAGGGAACATTGAGGAATTCCCAGTGAAAGCTGAGCGCCACTGAGCTTACATCTGCATGAGCTACACCCCAATTCCAGGCATGTTAATGTGTGTGCGTGGCGGGGATGAGTGGGTGTGCACTGCAGAGTCAGTGCCACTCAAAACACTACCAAAAGAGCTCACCAAGAAATATTTCCAAGGAAATTAGCATTAAAAGAGTTTTAAACAAGATCATTCCAAAAGAGGGCTCACTCTTTTTGACTGTGGAAGTCCCTTGGGGACATATGTGCTTCCAGACGGGGCAGTTTGGCCTCATGGTAAACTAAGCAAATGCAGGAAGGGTGGGGCTTGGCATTTGGGTGCCACCTGCTATCCTCCCCCAGCCCGGGATGATGCTCCCTCCAGCACTGGCGAAGATGAGGCCGCCTCCACTTACCAAACCTCCTCAGTGAGCCGAGGGAGTGCTGTGCTCTGCTGGGTGACCAGACGCAAGGTGTTCTTCTAGCTCCTCTGTTCCTTGAGCTGCCAAACAGAAGAGGACACTACTGAACCAAAGCCCAGAAAGAGGAGCTGTCTGTTAATGACCCCGGGGGGGGGAGGGGAGGGATGAGACAAACGTGGTATTTTGCTATTACTGCATCTCTGTGTGTGTGCAGAAGTGCAAGGAAAGCCATATAACCGGGCACTGTAGGAAATTCCCACGGGCTCGTATACACGTGGAGAAAAGAGGACACATCCTTTTGCCAGTTTGCAAGGATTCTCAGGTTCATATTAGCTCAGCGGCATTCAAGGAAAAAAGAAATCTTACTTGGACAATGAAGAAGAATGGAAGAGGAAGCTCAGGTGTTTGATCAGCTGCTAAAACTCAGCTCTGCTACTTGAGCTGAGTGATACTGGACATTTGACTCAACTTCTCTGAGCCTCCTTTCTCATCTAACACAGGCCTGGAATTACCCACCTATTAGACAAATATGAAGCCCTTGGGGCCGGTGCAGAGGAAATGCTTAGCAAAGAGCAGCTATGAGTATTATATTCACATAGAATTCTTTCTGCAGGAGCTGGGGATGTAGCTCAGTAGTAGGGTGCTTGCCCAGCATGCACGAGGCATTATAAAAAACAACAGAGAGAATTCTTTCTGTAGAGACACACTGAATTCTGGTCTTTCAGGGTACACAAAAAATGTTCAAAATTAGTTTAACATGTTCCCTCACCTGTAGGAACCCTTTACAGGTGGACTTTCTGCCCATAAAAAACTAATATTCCCTAACGATTTAGCTTCATATTTAAGTAAACCTATTTGACTGGTTAGGTTCTATATAGCATATTTCATTATAATGCTATTCTACCAAGAAGGGTTCTTATTCCTACTCCACAAAGAAAGGCCACAACCTAAAACTCAGGTAAGATACATTGAGCCACGTGAACTCCTGTTGCAAAGTTCTCCCCAGAACAATGGCCAAATTAACTAAGGCCAGGCTTCTGATTAACATACCATGCCTGCAGGAACTTTGGCCCACAGAAACTTGGCATCTGACACATTTCTCTGAGTCCAACCTTGTGCACAAGTGCCCGTTTCAAGGGTAATAAAGGGCCTTGCTGTTTGCTTACAGTCCACAGAGCTGGTGCCATGTCATTACACAGCTTTTACCTCTCCCATCCACCAAACCTTAGAAAGGAAGTCTGCAGTCCACGTGTCTGCTTTTGAGGAGAACAGAATGAAAGAGTATGTATTTCCAGCCTAAAAAGCGCCACAGTCCTACCTGGAGTTCTGAAGCATTAGTTTCTCAAGAAACACAAATATGGTCCCAAGATCAAAGAGATGAGAAAAGAGATCAGGTGTTTGAGCAGGTGCATATTATGACCATCCAGTTTCAGCCTCAGAGAACACACTGCTCTCTCTGATGGTTCTGGGCTTCCCTTTATTGACATGTTATAAAACTGGAATCAGACACAAGGAAGAAACCACAGAACTTGAGAGCCCTTGTCCCTGCCTATTATGGGATACTCAGTGTCCTCACCCAGTCAGTCATATGCGAACATCCTAATCCTGTCTCCAAATGTGTTTGGAAAGAAGGTCTTTCTTTAATAAATTTTATTTTATCCCACCCCGCCATGAACAAACTTGTAGTTTCCATTTCTTTCCTTCTATTTTCCTTTTTTCCCCCATCCCTTCCTTTCTCTCTCCCTCCTCCCTTGTTCCCTTCCCATTTGAACACTTTCTTCCCATTTCCCAACATCCATTGTACATCTCAGTCCTTATTTCCACTTTTAGTTTCTCACACCAGAGAAACAATGTGGTATTTAAACATGTGTGTCCAATTTCTTTCACTTAAGAGCATGTAGATCAAGGTCTTTAAAGAGATGACGAAGACTACATTAGATCACTGCCCGGACCCCAGTGTAACATGGCAGGTGTCCTTCTCAGAAAGAGGTTCGGACGCAGACTGAAGGACAGCCGTGTGCAGACACAATGAAGAGATGGCCTCGACCAGCCTAGGGGAGAGGCCTCAGGAGAAGTCAAACCCTCTGACACCACCACAGATAGAAAATAAACTTGTGTTGTTGAAGCCACCCATGCAAAATATGGCCATGGCTTGATGGTGTTGATGCACAATCCCCTCAGTTTGCAGTCCCTGGGCTGAGCCAGTACAATCTGACACTCAAAAACAAGCACCGCTCATGCTCGCGGTAAATATACTAGTTGAACACATACTGCCCTGGGAACAACAGCAATGGATAAAATGGATTTGTTTTCTGCATTCATGATTCTCAAGGCCTGGGTGAAGAGTCCAGGCAATGAGCTAGGCTAGAAATACCAAACTGAAAAGACAAACTCAACAGGATATGGTGGTACCTGCAATCCTCACACCCTTGGATGATGAGGACAAGAGGATAACTTTGAGCCTGTGCCAGGCAATTGAGCAAGACCCTGTCTCAAAAATTAAAAGCTGTGGGGCATGGTGCTGCATGCTTGTAATCCCAGCACTGGGGAGGCAGAGGCAAGAGGATCGCCTGGGCTACATAGTAAGTTCAAGGCCAGCCTGCACTACAAAGCAAGACCCTACCTCAAAAGAAAAAAGTAAAAGTAAAAAAACAAAAAGACAAAGCCACTGCCCTCCAAGAGGGTGCAGATTGAGGGACACAGAGTCAGAAGCATGTCATTGTAAAGCACAGTGACACTGGCTATAAAGTGCCAGAAAGAGAGCAGAGTGGGAAGGAGATGATCCCACGTCTGCCTGGCTAAAAAGGAAGAGGATGAGCCTAGACCTGGAGGACGAGCAAGTCTGCCCCACAGACTGGCATGAAGGGTGAGGACAGGATATTTTCCAGACAGGAAGGACAGCCAGTCCCTGGGTACAGGGACAGCAAGAGCATGGCACCTTGCAAGGATGACATTGGGTTGGGCCCAGCCAGACTGGAGGTGGGCGGGGGAGGGCAGCAGGACCTGTCCCTGGGATAAGCACAAGCCAGGAGTCCACGTCCGGGTGCGCAGGGAACCACTGGGGAATTTTAACCAGGAAGGCAGTGCTCCCGGAACTGCACACTAGCGAGAGCACTCGGACTGCAGTGCAGTGAAGGCTGCAGGCAAGACCACCTGTGGGCGGCAGCCACAGAAACAGACCCAGAATGCTTCAGCCACAACCATGGTGACAGGCCCGAGGGGCAGTATTCACAGACAGCCCTTGGCTTGTTAGCCTGGGAGTGATTTGATCAATGAGAAAATGCATTTCTCAAGAAACTTAATTCTACTTTCACATCAGAAAACTAACTTCACTTCTTTTCCATATTAATATTATATGTGACCGCATCTCAGTTTCCTCATATTTTCCTCAATTTATAAAGCTGGTTAATAACAGCATGTTCCTCCCAGAGTAACTTGAGTTAACTAACACTAACACTTAAGTCTAATAAATGTTAATTAAAGTAGAAATAAATAGTAAAGAACAAATGAGAAATTAATGATTGTCTAATTAAAGGCAGTTCTCCTCAGTGAATATGAGCCAGAATCAAACAGCAAATACAGCCACAAAAGGTAAAAACCTATAGAATCATCTGGGGAGGAAGCTGGGTTTGATCGCGGTCTCCCCAGACCTCTGACAAAGCTGCCTACAAAGTGGTCAAGCTGTCTTATTGGTACGTGTATTTCAGGAGGACTTGGAGGGAGTCGGACTGCGTGCAAGCACGAGAACTTTCCAGAGAGATGGAAATCGCTAACTTTTGCTTGGGGCAAGGATTCTATATCATAAGTAATTATTCACAGTCATCATTAAAAATGTGTGAAATTTACTATATGCAAATTATACATCAATAAAGATGGAAGGGAGGAAAAGGGGGCTCAAGGGGTAACAGAACTGGGCATGGTGGTACAATCCCAGCACTTTGTGAGGCTGAGGCAGGAGAGCCGACAGTATGAGTCCCGCTTGGGCAATTTAACAACTTGGGAGCACTGTCTCAAAAAAAAATTTTTTTTTATGGATAGATAGATAGATAGATAGATAGATAGATAGATAGATAGATTGCTGGGACTATCCCTCTGTGTGTAATGCCCTAGGTTCAATCCCCCATATTACTAAAAAAGGAGGGAAGTATTTATATTCCTAAGAGAAGAGGTAAATGTTTGAATGAGAGAACTTGCCTTAAAAACATTCAATTTCCAAACTCCTTCCCCTTGAAGTGGCTAAAGCTTGTTAGGAATACAAAAAAGCCTTTTTTATGTGAGAAACATTTTTGAAGTTATCTGAAGGCTTCCCCCTTGGGTCCTCGGTCCGCAGGACAGCACTCTTTCACCCGGGACTTGCCACACAAGCTGCCTTCTTGTGGCTTTGATACATCTCTATTTCCTGAGAGGAGTGGGGACAGTTAGGGAGCTGCATGGATACAGCGGAGAGAGCAAAAGCCCGCCCAGGGGCTGAGAAGCAGGCCGGCCGGCCACTCTGCAGGGCGCAGGTGCCCCATGGGCTGGGCCCTTCAGGAAAGGGGCCTGGAGGCTGGAAAGGGCCAAAGCCCACTTAATGTCCATGTAAACTGCTGCTTCGCGCGCGGTGTGTGTGTGTGTGTGTGTGTGGGCGCGCGCGCTTTAGGGCCTGCCTCCCTGTGCAGTGAGTCAGAAGCAAGCAGACATCTCACAGGTCAGGGCCAACAAAGTGGAACTGCACCTTCTGATTCTGCCTCTGAATATTGCTGAATATGACTCGCCATTCCCAGGAATCCTGTACCAAGAAAGAAAATGAAAACCCAAACAGCACCCAATGCTGCCTTTAAAATGAACATTGGCATGCAAGACCCAGGTGTCTTACAAGACACTTAGCCTTAGTGAAGGAGCAGAGGGAAGGTAGAAGTAGAGAACAAAGAAGAGGATCAAAAAGCATCTTTTCAAAAGACGCACTGAAAGAAGCAAAAGATGACATCAGCAGCTCTTTAGAAGGCAGTCCGTCTTCACAGAAGATCTTTTTAAGTCAAATGGAGAATCCCTGAGAGTTGTTAGAAGATAAGGCTATTCCCCCGCAGAGGCTATATTTCCCCTGCTGAGACAGGAAAATGCACCTAGTCCACTAGTGCACTAGAATGGGTCTGGACTAAAGCAATTTACACACAGATTAGACTAACTCCTCTGTGTCCGGCTTCCCTCCACTCCTTAAACGTGCTAAATCCATACTCTAAAAGACTGGCCTTTCCTTTTCTATGCAAACACGTCACTTCTTGTAACCATCTGACAGCTTCTCCTCACACTTAGAATAAAATCGGAAACCTTTCCACAAGAGCAGCTTGAGTTTTTCCTTTCTGCTCCCTGCCCTGCCTGCCTCCAAAGGCCTCGGGCCTCCACACCGACTGCCTCCTGCTCCACCGAGGGCAGCTCCTGGCCAGCTCCTTTGGCCTCCGTGCCTTAGCTCACTGCCTGGGGGCTGCCTTCCCAGTTCTCTCCCACACTGGATCCCCAGCTCTGCTCAAATGCCACCGGCTCCAAGTTTTCCCTGACTGCTCTGACTGACTGACCAAAACTGAGGATTGAGCCCAGGCCGCGTGAACTGCATCCCTAGCCCACCTGCCCTTTCTTTTTCTTTCTTTCTTTCTCTTTCTTTCTTTCTTTCTTTCTTTCTTTCTTTCTTTCTTTCTTTCTTTCTTTCTTTCTTTCTTTCTTTCTTTCTTTCTTTCTTTCCTTCTCTTTCTTTCTTTCTCTTTCTTCCTTTCTTTCTTTCCTTCCTCTCTCTCTCTCTCTCTCTCCTCTCTCTCTTGGTGAGACACAGTCATGGTAAATTACCTAGGTTGGTCTTTCCTGCCTCAGCCTTCTGAATGGCCCCTTGGTTACTGGTGTGCAGTGCCATGTCCAGCCCCTTACCTGTACCCTTAGGCCCCCAACTCTGCACTCTTTCTCCTCTTCCCTACTTTCATTTTTTTGTCTTTATACTTACTTCATGGAATTGCATCATACATTCATTTTCATCCCATTTTAGTATCTGGTCCAGAGAAATGTGAGCTCCATGCAGCAAAGGGGCTTTCTCTTTCTCACTAAGGGGCTCACTGCTCCTAAAGCAGGGCTGTCTGTCGCTAACCACTTTTGTTTTGTTTTTTGAGACAGGATCTCCCATGTATTCTAGGCTGGCCTTGAACTCACTGCAACCCTCCTGCCTCAGCCTGCTGAGCACTGGGATTACAGGCGTGCACCACTAGGCCCGGCTAATCTTCACTATTTGAGAAATGAAATACTCCCATTTGGAGAGATAATGAATGAGCCCTTAACTAAACCTGTCTGAACGGCTCTCAGCATCAGTGAGTCTTCCTTATTCCAATAAAAGTCCATGTCCTTTATTTGAATCACAGAGCGTCAGGCATTGACCACCCCTGCTATATGTAATTCTTTGAAACCACAGGCTTGGAAGTGACCTTAGTCAGAACCTTTTGTTCTGAAGCCGAGTGCAGGGTGTAGAGAGGTTCACAGGTGACTCCCGGGTGACACCACACCTGCGGACCTCAGCCAGCCTGAGATCACTTAGGTGCACAGAAACTCACCCATCTCTAAGCCAGCACCCTACAAAGAATGAGTCCAGCAGAAGCCCACTCAGGAAGGTTTCCCCATCCCACACCAAGCACTCACCCAACCAGATCTACTTCCTCTTGCTGTCCTCCCAGTGCTAACTTCTGGTTACCGCAGTCATGTGCCGTTATTTCCTGTTCTCTTCCAGAGTGCAGTTTGACCAAGAACAACCGTACATCTGGGGCTGGTTTGGTTCTAACACAGAGCCCAACCTGGAAAAACCGAAGGCAATGTGGGCTACATAAAGAAAACATGAAAACCAGAACAAAAGCTGCGGATTGGGCACCAGTGTCTCGAATGTAATTTGAGGCAGGAGACCCATATTGCTCCCGTTTGCATTTTTGCAGCACCAAGCACTGTGCCTGGCACAAGTCCAGGCCTGTTTGCTGGGAGAGAGAAGAGCAGAAAATGGCACTTTAGATTCATTATGAAGTCTACAGTGGCTTTGAACAAGTAAGCTTACTTTATAGGAGCTCACACTCGCTCGGCACTTTCTTTTCTCAGACAGATAGACAGACAGAGGGGTGTCTTACCGATGCCTCCCAAGACATATACAATTCGGCAAAACCAAGTGCTTTTTTAGAAGCAATCTGGCAGCAGCTCTGACTCAGCTCTCCTGAGAGTGCCACAGACTTCCATTTCTTCTAGGATGTCTTCGACTCCGCTTGCTTCCCTGAAGACTGGGCTGATCACGGAGCACGGCTCCAGATGAATGATACAGCTTAACCACCCCTGACCCCAAACCCTGAAATCCCAAATGCTCTGAAAACCTGAAGCTGAGTGAGAGCCAAGGCAGCGCCAGAGTAGAAAATCTGACCTCAAGGACAGGTCACAGTCGAAACACGCGTACACTAAAAATGCTCTATAAAATTGCCTTCAGGCTGTGCGCATGAGGTAGCTGGAAAACATGTGAGTGTCGTGTTTGGATTTGGCGCCCGTCCTCAATATGAATGCAAATATTCCCAAATCCAAAGAAACCTGAAATCTGAAGCTTTTCTGGCCCCAAGCACTTCAGATAAAGTATATTCAACTTGTATTAAGTAACATGGGGTACATGCAACATATTATTTCTCTAAAAATCTGAAATATTCGGGATTCCAAAATACATCTGACCCCACAGGTTTCTGATAAGGAGGTCTTGGGTTTGCACTGATGCGTAAGTCACCTGTCTGTAGTCACATACCTATCAGGTGACAGAGCCAGGACTGTGACCCAAGTAGCCCATTCTGCCACCTTGCTGTGGCCGGCATCTCCTCCCTAAGGTGACAATGGGTGGGGCTGAAAACAACAACTACAGCAGCAGCTCCTCTGACAAAGCCAGGGAGTAGAGTCAGCAGTGAGTGCTGGGCAGAGCCCCCATGGAGACTGATTCAGAGGATGACACCCTGGAGACTTGGGGATCTCCAGCCAACGGACCGAACTGCCTGGGAGTCACAGTGCCCATCTGGGAGATGGCATCAAAGTTTGATGGGTAAACTTTCACCCGGAGCTGCTGGAAAGTGTTGAGCCAGACCTGCTAGCGATCTAGAGTCATCTGTCCACAGTCTTTTTTGGTTTGTGTTGCTGTGTGAGAGCGAGCGGGCTTGTGTGTCTTTTATATCTTTTTGTTTTTTCCAGTATGGATTGAACCCAGGGCCTCACACATGCTAGGCAAGTACTGTGGCAACTGAACTACAAACCCCAGCCCTTCCTTTAAAATCTCATTTTGAGACAAGGTCTCACTAAGTTGCCTGGGCCGCGGCTCCTGCCTCGGTTTCCTGGGTAACTGTGATTACAGTTGTGTACGCCTGCACCCTGCTTTCTCTCTTTTTTCTGTTTTGGGTTCTTGGTTTTTTAAATTTTGTTTTTGGTGCTAGGGCTCGAACGCAGGCTCTTGAGTATGCTGAGCATGCACCCTGTCACTGAGCCACCCTCCCAGCCCCTCACACTCTGAGGTAGGACTGGGAGCTGTGGGGGGGTGAGGATGGGGAGGTCCTGTGCATGTGAGGATATAGGCTCAGTACAGACATTTTCCCTAATGCCCAGAATGCAGAACGATAATACACTGTATTTCAGCTTTTATTCTATCCCCTAAACTAACCACTTGTGGAAATAAAAGGTGCTGTTTAATTGAGGCCAGCACTGCACTCCCTTCAACAAGTAGTAGGAGTTAAATCAGGTCTCAGTTCAAACTCCACTTCCCCTGCAAAGCCCTCCCTGCACCCGAGTGAGGCAGCCCTGCCCGTTTCCATGCTCAGTTACACAGTAAGCGTTGTCTTGTAGCGCTCAACCTGGGTGCTCCTGGATCCTGGGGATTTGTTTCCTGCCTGGCTGTGTCCCACCAGACACTCACCCCGACATGGACACAGTCTTTATTCCTGTTCTCTTTGAACCCCAAATGCAGCACAGCACGTGACGACCCTGGAGCTCAATACATATGTGTGGGATGGAGAGAAACCAGGGGTTAGCCAGCACGTCCTTCTCCACCTCTGTACTGCAAGGGTGCCATCGCCGGGCAGTCCAGTTTGGCAGTTCGTCATCTGCTGCTGGTGACCCACTGTCGTCATGGTCTTAAACTCTTGCTTAGCTTTATTGTTCTCACTTAACTTTTGCCCTGCTCCAATCTTGTCTTCCCAGCCAGACTACAAGCAGGCTGAGTGTAGGTGACACAGCTCCTAGAGTGACATCACACCCACCCTCCTCACTGTGTGGCTTTGTTGTCACCCAAACAAGGACTGTTCTTCTCAGTGTTTGCCACTGGGGAAACCGAGGCTAAGGAAACTTCAGTGACTCGGTTCTTGGTGCGTGGGATTTAAATTCAGATATTAGGAAATCAGTTTCCTCCCTGTGAACTTTTCGGTCTTTCATCTGTTTTATGCTCTTGTAGACTCTATGGATTTTAGCATTTAGACATCCACTCATTCATTCATTTAATTTATTTTCTTTTTTTATTTTTTTGAGACAGTGTGTCACTGTGTAGCCCAGGCTGGCCTCAAACTCACATCCATCCTTCTGCCTCAGCCTCCCATGTGCCGGTTACAAATGTACACCCTCACACCCCATTAAATCATTATTCTAAGACATATTTCCTGAGCCCCTTCTCTGCTCACTGTGCTGAGCAGGGAAGATCCAGCCTTTATTTTATCCACATTATACTACAATTATGCAGGTAGCATTTTTCTCTCACTGCGGTTGTTTCTTTAGCAGCTATGTAAAGAAGCCAGAACATCCACTCAAAGCAGGGTCTTCACTGCCTTTGTTCACTCACCTAGATCGTGGAAGGAAGGGGCTTAGTTAACATTCATCAAGCAAGTCTAACACACACTCAGATAATGTCTCTGAAAACAGTCACAGGTGGCAGAAGAGCCCCTCATGGGAGCACTGTTTTTATGACAGCAGAGTGCAACGTGGGGCATTTTCTTCTTCTCAAGCCCCTGAGAATGAGATAGGATCAAGTGAGAAAACGGAAAGCAAGCTAAACTTGAAATAAATCTAAACTTGAAAATAAAACATGAGCGAGTGCCAAAGAAGAGAAACCGAGGTGCTGTTTCAGTGTAAAATACAGATTCCATCTTGGCTACCACGGGTGACCGGCACCAGGGCGCGTAAAAGCTTGAGTCAGCAGAGTTCTGAGTTGTGACTATCTCCCCCACCATCTTTCCAGCCCCACCCAAACCAGGAAGGCTGTGCTGGTGCAAAAGTGGGGTTCTTGTCATTCTGCTAAGTCAGGCCCTTTATTATGGGGTGAAAGAGCTCTTGTTCCTGATTTCTCAATCCTGATCCTGCTGGCAGCAATAAAATATGATCCAGCCTGACTCTTGTGCACAACAAACTACAAATTAAATAGATAGCTCAGGGTTCCTTCCAATCTCTACATTGTGAGCAGTTCCTAGTACTTTTTTTTTAGGGTCAAATTATTTACAATAGCTAACTGTCAGGTAGATTAACAAGCAAGTCTGGGAACTCAAAACATGCCCTCAATCTCAGGATATTACAATCTTTTTCACTTTTCTGCCCTGACCCTTATAGCAACACAATGGTTAAAAACCAGATCAAGCTGGGTGTGGTGGTGCAAGCCTGTGAACCCAGCACTCGGGAGGCCAAGGCAGGAGATCACAGTGAGTTCAAGGCCAGCCTCTCTGAAGCAAACAATCAAACAAACAAAGCTAATTGGAACTCACAATATAATCAATTCCCTGGACAGTGAGCGACTGATACCTTGGTTCTCCCTGCTCCTCCTAGTGCCAACCTTCAGTGATCTGGACAGTGAGCGACTGATACCTTGGTTCTCCCTGCTCCTCCTAGTGCCAACCTTCAGTGACTTATGAAAACAGCCAGGAGGTGGCCCTGCCTGTCCCTTCCCTGCCTAGTCTGTATCTGATGTTTTCCTGTTCAGTTCCCTGTATTTACACATACCCTCACCGAATGCTGGATGCCACCACAAATCAAAATTTGCTGTCCCCTTTTTCTCTCATTATCTACCAGTTACAGATCTGGCTCTGTGCTAGGCGTTATGTTAAGCCAGATCAAGGATCTGGTTTTAATTCCCCCGACGAACAAGCAAGGTAGGAGTTGTGAAACCCATTCGCGGTAAAGGAAGTGGAGACTCATAGAGATTGTCTTGTTCAAAGGCTTCCAAGAAGTAGTCTGGGACTTAAACCTTGGTCTTCGAGGCATTGTTCAATTGTCTTAAAATAAGAGCTACTTCCACTAGGGGATCAGGAATCTCTGTCCTTCATTCTTCCCTTCATCAGATAACTGTTATTAGAGGACCACAAAGCATGGCCACCTTTAAAATCTATTTCTTCCACTGTGTAATACACCAGGTCTTATATTTTAACATTTCTCCAACAATCCATGTGCTTATATATCCTCGCCTTCATTGAATCAGTTGCATGTTTTACAATCTGTAAAGAAAGATTACAATTCAGGAAATGACCCCACTGGGACATAGTCTGCACGATGCAGCAGATTTAAAGATACATTAAGTCAATAGGAAAAATCTGCCTGTCTCCAAGAGCAGAGGGAAAAGCAATCAGACTGTGAGATTAAGATGGTTAAAGAGGGCTGGGGGTTTAGCTCAGTGGTGCCACTGCCTGCCTTGTAAGAGCAAGGACCAGAGTTTGATCCCTGGTACCAAGAAAACCCACAGAAAACAAAGATGGTTAAAAAAAACAGCGTCCATAGGACCGCCATTCTCCTTTGTAAGACCCGGAATAGTACAGCAGGTG